TGTGGGCCAACTCTGGCCTACTGCCTGTTTTTGTAAATAAAGTTTTATTGGAACACAGCACACTCATTCATTCGTGTATTGCCTGTGGCACTTTGTGCTACAATGACAGAGTGGAGATGCTGCAATGGAGACTATCTGGCCCTTGAAATCTTAAGTGCTCCTAGGAAAAGTTTGCTGACCTTTTACCCAGGACCTCTCAAAAACTTGCAGTTGATAGAAAGATATTTTTTAGCATGCTCAAGAAGACTTCTGGCTTTGCACATTAGCCCACAACGGGGCTGGAAAAGATAAAATGGGGAAAAGAAAATTTCTTTAAGGAACAGGTGCAGATGAAAGCCTAATCCCAAGAGAGAAATTTAGGCAAACGAAGGGGAAATATCGGCATTAACATCAATATGACGCCTATTTTCTTCACTGGGTATCTATGCACAAAAGTAAGGAGCTTAATGCACCTACATACAATTCAAGTTGGTCATTTGTCAGTGGTCAGCCACTGATCACCTGTAGCCTGATACTAGCAGCAAAGCTCCTGATATTAGCCATACGCCGTCTGTACTCACCTGGAAGAGCTGGACATTGGTCGGAGGGTCTTTCTGAAAGAGTAAAGTGGCACTGACGAAGGTGGGGTCCAGCAGACCACACATCTGTGGAGGCAAGATAATAACAGAGGTGACTAGAACTATATTTTGATCATTGTTCTCTTCCTTGGTTGTCCCCAAGTGATAAAAGTGACAACCTATCTCTTCGTTCCTCATTTTATAGCCCTTTAAGTACTGGCTAGATCTCTCAACATCCAAACATGGGCTCTGAGGGCTCACTGTTTAGTAACAGCCTCAGCTTCATGGCCAGCCACCCTGCACCAGCAGACCGAATGGTTTCTGCTTTCTCCAACGCACCACACTCTCTCCTTCCTTCCTGCATGGATGCACACTGCCCTCTGTGTCGGAGATACACTTCTCCCTGGCCTTCCTGGCAGTCTCCCTTACCCTCTGCAATTCCATGGGGAGTATTTAGTGATATGGAACGTGTTCACACTACAGTCTCAATGAAAGCAAGGGGAATGTAGAACTCTCTATGCAGCGTGCCCCCAAATCTGTTTAGAAAATGATATCTCCAGACAGGAAGATGATAGATATATTGATAGGAGGGTGGAAGGACATATAGAAACAGAAAGAAAGAAAGATGGGGCAGACAAACAGTGCGACAGACAAATGGACAGATAAATGTAGGTGAAAGATCAGACGAATTAACCAAAATATTAGCAGTGATGTTCTCTGGAATCTGAGAGTAAGAGCAATTTTAGGTTTTCTTTATACAACCCTGTATTTTTTTAGTTTTTCACAATAAGTCCTTATTACTTTTATAATTAGGGGAAAATGTATTATTAATGTTTTTAAAAGAGGGATTTCGCTCTGCCGTCCCCAAATCTGTGAAGCTTTCTCTCCTCTGTCCCCCTGCACACTCCATCTCCGCAGCCGTCTCACCAGGACGCCTTCAGTGACCACAGTCCCCCACGCTAGGCTGCCCCCAGTGCCAGGTGCAACCTGGCGCTTTCAAGCAAGAGATCAATGCGTGCTGGTGAACAAATCGCAGCCTCTCCTGAGCGCACGTCCTGCGCGGGCCACCGCGCCCTGGCTGTTGCAGCCCCCGCTGACATTCCCAGTCCACCCTACCTTCTCGTCACACTCTACATTCCCTTTCTAACCCACAAAACCACAGTCGTATCAACTCTACTGCCAGGATCGTCTGGTTTGCTGCCCCTTTTGCAGATTTCACAGCTGAAACAGAGAATTGTGACTATTCAAGTTCTCACGGTGAAGTAGTGACATCCCCGCATCCCTGACACCCAGCCCAGCGCTCTGCCTCTCAGCCGCCTGGTCGCTCCCATCTCCGCAGCTCCTGGACTGTGTCCCTGGTCTCTGCTCTTCTGCCCTCAGATGTCCAGAGGAGAGGAGCAAGTTTACCACCCAGACCAGATTCTCACGTCCCCCAAAAAATGCTGCAGAGAACCTGTGCCTTGCCAGGCCCCGCACTCACGTTGTCTGGGTTCTCTTTGCCCAGCTTCTGAAGAACTGTCAGGTAGAACTTGAAGAAGAAGCTGAGGGTGAGGGTGCGCCGGAACTCCACCATGCCGCCGGGGGCGTCGGGGGGCAGCAGCAGCTCCTCCGCCAGGCCTGCGCACACGTCCTGCAGCAGCTCCTCCTTCCAGAGCCTGTGGAGAGCAGAGCGCGGGCGCTCCCACCCAGCCCTCCACGTGCCTCCGTGCGGAGCCGGGTGCCCAGAGCCTCGGAGTGCTACAGAGCTCGGGTTGAACTTTGGCTCGGATACTTGGAGGACTTTAGGCAAGTTACTTAACCTCCTTGAGCCTCAGTTTCCTTATCTTTAAAGTTAGATACGCTAAAAAAGACCATAAAAATATAAACATGCTACTATGACTATGACTATGAATAGTTAAGTCTATTGAGTCCTTACAATGTGCTGGTCAATATCCTACATGCTTTATATGAGTCGTCACTTTTAATTTAAATCAAAAAGTGTAGCAGGGAAAATTCTTATACCCATTTACCAATGAGAAAACTGAGGCACGAGGACAGTCACTTGACTTATGTCACCAATTTGGTAAATGTCAGAGGCAGAAACTGGAACAAGGATCCAAATTCCAAGCTGAGCTTTGTTGATCTTATATGGTTATTTTAAGGATATATAGGATTATGCCAGTGAAGTGCCTGCTACAATTGCTGTTATATAATAGCCGTAGTAATACTAATAATATTAGTAGTAGCAGTAGTAGTAATAGCACCAGCAGTAGCAGCAATAGTAGTATTTAATATTAGCAGTAGTACCAGCACCAGCATCAATGCTACTAGTAATAATGCTCGCAGTGGCGGCAGCAGTAATAGTAATGGTAACGGTAACAGTAACAATATGAATAGTAGTAGTAGAAGTAGTAATAGTAGTACAAGAAAAAGCAGTATTAATGGTAGCAACAGCACCACTGATACTACTAGCAGTAGTAGAAGTAGTAGTAGCAGCAGCAATATTACTACTAGTGTAATAGCAGCAGCAATAGTAGTAATAGTAATGGTAACAGCCTCAAAGTCAAAAAGTAGCAGTCATAGCAATAGCAGCAACAGCAATAAATACTAGTAGTAGCAGTAACAGCAGCAGCAGTACTAGTAACAATGGTAATAGTGATAGTAGTAATTGCAGTGGCAATAGCAGTAGCAACAGTAATGCTATTAGTAAAATACTGATATTAATAGTAACAACAGTAATAGTAGCAGCAGTAATAATAGCATAAGCAGCAGAGAGGTAGCAGCAGTAGTAGCAATAGTAATAGTAATAACAGCAGTAATACTAATCATGGTCATGATAGTCAGAAAAGCAGCAGTGATTGTAGCAGTAGTGATAGTACTAGTAACAGTAGTAATAGTAATAGCAGTAATGAGTAGCAGTGGTAATTGTAGTAGTAGAAGAGTAGTAGAAACAGCTGCAATAGTAGCAATAGGAATATTAGTTGTAGCTGTAGCAACAGTAGCAATGGTATTAATAATAGCAGTAGTAGCAATGATAGTATTACAGCAGTGGCAATACTACTAGAAGTAATGCTAGTAGTAGCACAATAGCGATAGTAGTAACAGTGGTTATAGTACTAGTAGAAGCAAGAGCAGCAGTAGAAGCAATAGTAATAGTAGTAGTTGCAGCAAGAGTAACACCACCAGTAGTCACAGTAGCAGCAGCCGCAATAACACAGCATCGGCAACAGCAGCAGCAGCTTCCTTTTGCTGTTAGCCCTTACTTGGACAGCTGCTTCTGGGTGGTCTTGAGCGCCGAGATGGTTCTGTTGGCCATTCCGCCATAGCAAAGAGCCAGCTCCTTCACCTCTGTGGTTCCTGGCTTGAATAAAACTCTCATGCCGCTGGTCACCTTGGCAATGTCATCTTCTCTCCGGGAGGCCTGCTTGAATGCTGAGAAAAACTCACCCTAAAAAAACCCAGAAACGTGCCTGTTTTCCACCTTGTTTTGCAAGGACTGCAAATGGCAAACCTGAAACACGGGGCCACGAGGTGAGGTGGGGTGACAACACCATCGCAAATCAGTGGGGGAGTTGGCCCAGGAGTCAAAGACAAGCATAACTGACAGCACATTTTTAGAAGGTCCAGAGAACATTCCCAGGAGCTGAAAAAGTGTCAGGATTTCTCCTCATTAGTCAGGAAAGCTGAGGGTGAGGGACAAAGTATAACTGGTGGTCTCCACCAAACGAGCAGCGGGGCAGGAGGAAGGGGCCTTCACCTTCCTCACCTGGAGCCCAGTATCAGCTCCCACCAGCTTCTCTGGGGGCTGTGCTGAGCCCCCTGTTGGCCTGCCGGCCTGTCTAGCAGAGACAGTGAGCTGCCAAGGGCTGTTTGGAAACACCTTCAGCTGTGGCCTCCACAGGTGCTCTCTAACTCCTCCCTCCCACCAGTCTACTGGCTACATTCAGAAATCTTGTTTCCTGAAAGAAAGTCACACTATGAAACAATTGCTGCCTTTGAGATTTACGCATACTTTACCCCCTGAGTCTGAGCCAGGATCTGTCTTTGGGGACAGAAGGAGTATGTGAGTTACTTCCCAGGTAAGAGCCATGTAATTTCAAGCCCTTTCCAAGTCAGGTTCCTCTTGAGGTTTGAACTCATCCTGGCATGGCAAATTCTGAGTAACACCCACAGCAGATCTACTGGAAAGCAAAACGAGGCCCACTGCTGAGGCCCCCAAATGGCCTCAGGATTTTCTTCGAAGAAGCCATGGAGAGCCCCTCCTGAAGATAAAGCTAGCTCAGAGTCCTGGTGTCAAACATGACCCTGGGACACGAAGTCCAGAGTTCGAACTTCATTCTGGAACAGAGGTTCCAGATGCTCACTCCCAGGCCTGCACCAGTCTGCGGTGATGTTTTCACTAGGATGCCAAGAACAGTCAGCACCAGGTTGACAACATTCTTTCTTAACAAAGCTTCCTAATTCTGGGTATTACAATCTCTTTTCTTTTATGAAATGCTGCTTTTTTGTTAATGACCGTACGTGGCAAAATAAAAGCTAGGTAGTGCTGTGCCTGTTTCCTCCCCCCTCCCCACTAAAAAAAAAAAGATTACTGAACTGTGAAATTCAAAACTCTGGGAATCACTGCTCAAAATGGTCTATAAGGACAAGCTAGAAAATCATTAAGAAACCACCTCAGGGATATAATTGCTCTAATTTAATTAGCATTCTCATTAAGGAGGTCAAAATTAGCAAGGGCAAAACATGCCTAGGAACACTCGCTAAAGCACTAGCTGTGGGGAACACTCACACCCTCCTTGACAGCTGCTCCCCAGGCCTCTCACAGACCGCTTTTCTGAGAGGCCCATCGTGGATTGTGTCTTGAGTTGCCAGCTGCTGAGAGTGGGGAGAGCCACGCCAGGTCAAGACACCGCAGGCCTCAAAGAACAAGAGCAAGGCAGCCAGGGGTGGCCAGACCCACCCCAGCGGGCCAGAAGAGCTACTCATGCAGCAGGAATCTGTTGGCACCGACAGCTCCTCAAACCCAAGGTCAGCACATGTAGATATGACTCAGAGCATCTTCCCTGCTCAGCTCGCAAACCCTGCACTCTTTACCGCAGGAGAAAAAGTCTCCTCTGACGTGGGGCAGGAATACTTGACAGCCGGATGTGTTCTTGCAATTGTGGCATCTTCACTGGCTCTCAGACAGCTGCCAGGAATCTTATGAGTGATTTATTTTTAGTCCTCACAATAACCAGCACAGTAGGTGACAGGGTGCCCATTTTACAGATGAAGAAGTTGGGGCCCAGAAAGGTGAAATGACTCATTCAGGACCATACCTCCAGCTGTCTGGTTTCACAGTCCGTGTCCTACACACTCCTACCCTGCAACTCGCATCCTCCAGAGAGGAAGATGATCGGTTCATTAAAGGCGAAGTTCAGAGAGAAAAACGTCAATGCTAAAGTTGAGGGATGCTCAAGTTGGTCCTGAGGCAGACCCTGGTCTTCGTTCTGGAGCCTGGCATTGGGACTTATTCGGGCAGACACTGGACCACTCCCAACACTCACCTCCCTGCTATAGGGGATCTCTATGGAGAGAAGTATCTCCTCTGGACTCAGCAGGGTCTTCCTGTAGCCAGGGAAGAAGGTGTGATCCATCCGAACAGTTCTCCTGGTGCCTGTACAGAGGCAAGATGAAGAGGGACCGATGTGAGGGAGAGGTGGGGACCATATCGGGAGGAGAGGACAACCCACCAGTGGGACTCTTCCCCCTGGTGTCTCATGCCCATAGTCAGAGGGAACGACTGGCACAATTGGGGCCAGGTCCCCCATCTGAAATCCTTAAGCAATGGTGTGCTGGTGAATATTTAACAACCTGCTCTTTGGGGCCGTGGGGGAGCCTGTTCTGTAGCATCCTGCAGTTTCTATAGTATAAAGCTCCCACCAGAGCCAATTGCAAGCTGCCAAAATGGCGTCACTGACTGTGAAGCTGGGAAGAGGGCAGGAAAAAGGTTAGCACAGCAGCCCTGACCACGGTCCTCTGTGAGGCCTCCTCACAAGGTTGGCCCTCGGAATTTGTGTTTCGGAAGGGTTCCCACCGTTCCATGACATGAGCGGCTCACTGTGCCCAAACTAAACCATATGGTTTATGATGAATGCCTGCTTTCCTCTGGGAGTCTGGACTTTTGGTACATGCCAGTCAGAGGCCGCCTTTGTGACCAGCCCCCCAGAAAATCCTGGGTGCTGAGTCTCTCACAAGCTTCCTAGGTAGACAAGACTTCACGTGTGTTGTCACAACTCACGACTGGAGGAACTAACCACGTCCTCTGTGACTCCACTGGGAGAAGTGTCTGGAAGTTTGTGCCTGGTTTCCCCCAGACTTTGCCCCAAACACCTTTTCCCTTTGCTGATTTTGTTTTGTATCCTGCTGTAATGAATCACAGCCATGAGTAGGACTATGTGCTGAATCCTCCTAACGAATGTCAGATCTAGGGTGGTCTCTGAGGGAGCTCACAGTGGTGTAGCGTTTCCACTGTACGGCACGTATAAACAAGCTCGAGTACACATAATAGAAAAATGAAGTAAAATAATTAGGAAGTGACGAATTTTGAGTATTTGTTACCTTTGTTTTGATTATAACTTATTTCATTGTGAATTTATATAATTCAGTTTTTAATAATGCCCATGTTTAACAAATGGCTCATAGAATTCCTGCAAATCCAACAGTCGGCTACGGTAAGCCAGCACATTCCAGCCCCCACACAATGCCATGTAAGGCAGACACCCGGACGGCAGTTCCTGTTGTGAATTCTTTGTAAAGAAAAGGACCAGCTCTCCTGGCCCCTAACTGGGATGCATTCCCCTTGCAGCTTCCCTGGATTCAAACTTTAGGACAGATGGGTCACTGAACTTTGGGTTCTGTTTCTCCAGAAGATGACTTATCTAGGGAGAGTTTTCTCGCCCAAGTCCTTCTTTCTGGAATTCTGCTTCAGGCAGCTCACCTCTGGACACGAGAGTCAGCTTAGCCCTGCTGGCCATGAACACGGGGTTGAGGTCGGAGATGGGGCTGGCGGTGATGATGTTCCCTCCAATGGACTAGGACAAGCAGAGAGCGTGCAGTGAGAGCCCACCCCAGGAAGCCCTTGCTCATGCAGCTGGCTCCTGCACACAGGGCAGGTGGTGACACCCACTGCAAGGGGAGCCCAAGGACCTGCGCTCCCTCTAGACACAAGATATGCACAGTCAGAACTTGTACATTTGGGAAAATGTGCAAAACTTAAAATCAGTTTTCAATCCCAAGTTTTGGGATTGAAGTCTCAGCTCTGAAACTTACCAGGTAAGCCCCTTTAAATTTGTTTGTTTGTTTGATTTCAGCAAACCCTTTCCTGAAAGGATTGAAGTGATTCATCACAAAGGCCATAGAGAGTTGGTAAAATAGAAATAGAAGATAAAGATCAAAGATCAAGGATCAAGGAAAAAGAGGAGGAAGTTAAGGTTGAACAATTTGTTCTATTTGGACCTCAACTTCCCAGGAATTTGGCACAAAATGTAAGAAGAATCAGATACAAGGTTCTCATTGTTAGAAAACAGAAAGAGAATCAGTTGCACAATGAAAACAAAGTTCTTCCTGGAACTTCCTGGAACTTCCTAGGTTCTAGCAGAACTAAGGAAGTCAGTAGAGCTTTTATGTCTTCTCATCTACAATCAGACGTGGCAGATACTTGGGGTGGGGGTAGGGGAATAGGAGTAGGCTATTTCATTTTCAATTTTTAAAAAATTAAAAATAGAAGGAAGAACTTTCTTCCCAACGGTGTAAATTGCTGTGAACCTCAAATGGCACAGGGTGTGTGAACGTCACCATTTGCAAACTGGGAATTTCAGGGCTAGTCTGAAAGCTGGTTGTGAATAGTCAACAGGTGAATCCCTCCCTCCTCTTACGGGGGCTCTGCCTCTGGTTCTCCCTAATTCTGAAAGGGAGAATCCCTCGGAATTTTGCCTTCTTCCTAACACCTCTCTTATTCATCTACTGAGAGACACAGCCAAGCTCAGAAGAGGGGGGCAGAAAGCTGTATCTCTGCAACCTCAGGGGTGAAGACTGAGTCACAGAGTAAGAGTTTTCCAGAGGGGCCCACAGACCACTTTCATCAGAAGCACCGATCCCTGGGCTGCACCCTACACCCAAGCTCGGGGTCTCTGAGGGTGGGGCCCAGGAATCTGCATTGTTAACAGGCACCACCCCACCTGCCCCGGGCAATTCTAAGCACTAAAGTTTGAGGCCCACTGGGCTGAAGCAAGCAAAGAGTCTGCAGCAGCGGCCAGACAAGCCACCCTGCTTTCTGTGACAGGCCCCGTCTCCCGGGCTTTGCTTGCCTCCGAGACTCACCGCCACAGACTTGACCTGCTTCCCAGCAAACCAGCGCAGCTGCTCCAAGACTCCTCTGAACACCTCTGTTTTCTGAGCAGGAAGCTTAGCAACTGCATCAACCAGGGTCTTTTCCACAAAGCTCAGGGGGCAAGAAGCTCCAAAGGAAATACCTGGGAACACATACTCAGAATAACATGAATCCCTCTACAACTCAGAAAACGGTTTCAATATACAGCTCCTATGAAGCTTTAGAGCAACCCGAGCACGGCTGCATCAAGTCTCATATATTTATATGGATGAGGAAATTAGGGCCCAGAGAGGTTAAGTGACTTAACCAATGTCACACAGCTAATAAAAGAGCCAGTACGCAAGCCCAGGCCTCTTGATCCTACAACCTATGCTTTTTCCTCTAAACCAGTGATTCTCAACTCAATAAAATCAGAATTTCTAGGGATGAAGTCCTGGCATTTTTTAAAAAAGCACCTGGGCACAACCCCTCACCTCTCCCACCCCACCCGCCACGGGAGATTCTATTGTGTAGCCAGGATTGACAACGACTCTTGAAGACCTCACAGCCTCTTGCCCACTGGCACCCTGCCCTGGATGCTTGGTGGGAGAAAGGCAATGAAAGGGCCCCCTCCCCAGCCTCCCACTTCCCCAGGGCGTGAAGAGGCCCCAGGAGCAGCAGGAGGCAACCAGAGCCAACAGGGAGCCACCCTGGCACCTGCCATCCCCTCTCGTGACCCATCCCCAGCATCTCAGCCTCTCTGTGGGCCTGGGCCAGCCTCCCCTTACCCTCAGGTCCATGCTGCACCGAGTTCAGCTCCGGGATCCAGGCTGGGCAGACGATCAGAGGAAACAGCATGTTCTTAAATTTCATCTCAATGCCTTGAGAGAAACGAGAAGCCCGAAACTATAGGCCCATGGTTGTACCATCAGCGCAGGCCTCAGCAGTACCACACACAGGACATATGACATATTCATACCATATCATGCTCCGTGGGTGTCTTGGGATTAGGAAATGCAGTGGACAACATGTGGGATTAGGAAATGCAGTGGACAACATGTGGGATTAGGAGCAGTCTCTGGACTGTCAGCCCTAAAATTATGTCTTCTCTCCCTCTCAAAAAAAAAAAACAAAAAAAACCCTATCTGAATTCAAATGAAATGAGTTTGAATTCACTCCAATGTATTAATGTGTGTGTGTGTGCATGTGAATGTGTGTGTGATAACATGAGGAAACACAGGAAATCAAGGTATGTCAGGAACTCTTCTAAGCACCTTACCTATTTCAACTCGTTTAAATCTCACAACAACCCTGTGAGGTACTGTGATTTATCGCTGTTTATAGATGAAGAAAGTGAGGCACAGAAAGAGTAAGTTTCTTGCCCAAATCACACAGCTAAGAGTAGGCAAATTTGAGCACTTGAACTATTATTAGTGTTAGAGTGTAATAGTAATAAAAACATGAAAGTCTAACATTAAACCAAAAAAGGAAAATGAGAGAGAAAACTTCAAATCTGTCCTCCAGTCCCTAGTAGCTGTCTGAGTTCTCCAAGATGCATGACTTTGCAGGGCCACACATGTGTCTGGTTTATGTTTTCCCCAACGAATCAAGTTAGGAACCTCTGTTATACAGATGCTCCCCTGTTCCTTAGACCCAGCGGGCTCAGCCCCTCTCCCAGCCCTGCCAACAGGGCTATACGTGGGAAAGGTTACCCCTTCCCCCGCCCCCAGTGCTGCTTAGGATTTCTGAAGGGGGTCCCAGGCTTCGAGGAGTCTGGCTTGTTTGAATATCAGCTCTAAGGATGAAGAACACAGATTGAAACAGAAAGCCCCGCCTTGATTAGGTTTTCTCTCTGCCCACCTTCCATGGACACCCTGCGTCGGCCAGAGGTGCTTACGCCCTTGGGGTGTGTGTATAAGGGAGGAGGGAGAGGGGCAGATAGAAGTGGTCCAGAGAGATTATTCCTAATTGTGGGGCTTATACAATCTTTGTAAATTCCTTCCTCTTGGAATCCAGCTGGACCCTGGACATTGTATGACTCATGGCAAGAAACATGTCAAGTGTCAAAGGATCTCCTAAGATTCTCCCAGCCACCTTAGATCATGCCACCCCTGGACTACATGGGCCATGAATCCTGTTCGGCCATGGCCACCAGGATCACATCACTTGAGGCATGTCTCAGCCCACCCTGCCATCCCACTGTGTTGCAAAACTGCAACATTTGTGTTCACAAAGGCAAGGACAGCTTTGAGCTCCATCAGCACTGACCCCGCCAGGCCCTCCTCTCTGTGGCTGTGGGTCCAAGCAGAACCCAGGGCTTCAGGGCTCCTTGAGGAACCAGAGCCAGGAGTCTCCTACAAGCTGGACTTGCCTGCTTAAAAGCATGTCATACCCACCCCCACATGCCCCAAACCAGAGGTCCTCTAGGAGAAACCTCAGCTATGCCACTTAGATCCTCACTAGGCTTGGGACCCAGTAAAGAGGAAACAGGCTAAGCCAGGTTGAGAGATGGATTAGGAGAGGCCTGGGCAGCTCTGGGCAGCTCTGCTATCTCTCCCTGTCTCTTGAAGCACTGGGGCTGAGAGCTGCATGTCCTGAGTCCCTCAGCCTGGTCACATGTGGCAGGCCTCACGCCCCAGGTGGTGGCACCAACAGGGCCGGTGGCCACGGTTACAGGCAACACAAACAGTCACACTTGGACATCTCCTTCACCTTATCACCTCACCCCCCAGGAAAGGGGAGGCAAAGGTGTGACACCTGTGGAAGCTCTGGTGTCCGTCAGAGCCTGGCCTGGACACTTTGTTTACTTCCCTCCCTCCTCCCTTAGATTAGGAGAGCCTTGAGGGAAGGAACTGTTTCCAGGTGACCTTTGTATCCCAAGCCCTTCCCAGAGTCCCTGGCTCATAGCTGGCACTCTGTAAATGTTTATGGGGAAAAGTCGACGTGCACATAAGGATCTCATTTAATACCCAAAACAACCATTTGAGGATCTGTTATTGCCCCATACAAGAGAAGGGAAAAGGAGGGAAGGGGAGGACACACAACCAGCAAGGCGCTGAGCCAGATCTGTGCCACTCCAAAGCCAGGGGCCTTTGCAAGAATTCAAGTGTCCAGGGCTCCTCGGGGGCTTCAGGGCAGTCAGTGGGGGAGGAGGGTGGGGCGCAGAGTGGCAGTATTGGGGACAGTGAGGGGGCAGGAAGGACCCAGCAGCACTCCCAGGCCCCAGGCCTTACCAATCTCTGTGTTCCCCACCACCAGCTTGGCGTCAGGGTGCTGAGCTTTGAGGTCCAGCAGCTCCTTCAGGGTGGAGGCCTGGATCCACGTCACACGCTCCCCTTCAAAACGCAGCTGCCTCCGAGGAGTGTCTTTCAGCCTCTGGGAAATGTAGTTTTCTTACTACACTGTCTCCTTCTTCCCACTGCCATTCCCCTGAGAAATTGCTTTAATCTGCAATCAACTCTTCTATTGGCTTGCTTAATACTGAGTTCAGGACGAAGATATATGTTAGGGGAGAAGAAAGGGGAATTAATAGTAAGGCAGGAACTCCTTTGGGGCCATTAAATACACACTTAGTCTTTACAAGACCTCCAATGAAGGAGCCATGTGAGCCTCATTTTTCCAAGTGAAAGAGACACCTGAGGATCAAGGAGGTTATGGGACCCACTGAAAATCGCCTGCCATGAGAGGACCCCAACTGACCGGGCAGACAGCCCAGGTTCCTGCAGTGCCCCACACTGACTCCAGGGGGCGCAGTGGACAAGGCGTGGGAAGAGCTGGGGAGGAAAGGGTGTCAGAAGTGGGTGTGCAAGAGGTCTGGCGCCCGGTGCATGCAGGGTGACGCTGGGCTGCGAAGGAAACCCCAAGACCAAGTTGACGCGTTTTCAAGGTTTCATGGTCCGAGAAAGATATGCGGGGCCCTGCTGCAAAGCCATTTTCTCTGGCCTGTTGAGCCTACAGGGCAGTCTTCATGAGCTCAGCACCCCAAGAAATGTGTACTTGAGAAACTCTGGGAGTGCTTGACTCTTTCCTTGCAATAAATGCTGGAGTGAAGGTGAGAAAGATGGTGTGGAGGGGTGCCTTAAAACAGAGCTGCAAACTGCGGGTCATGTCCTTTGAATATTGCTCTTTTTTGTTTGTTTTTTAAATCAACGGACTGCTTGTAGAGAGAACAGGTTGCTTGTGTGTGTATGGGGGAGGTGGGGGGCTATACATTAGGTATAGCCAGGAGGTCAACAAATAGTTATAGAGCACCTACTACTGCTACATGGTGTGCCCAGAGACACGATCCCCTTCCTCACAGGGCCTGTCATCTAGCGAGGAACACAAAACACCAAATTAGTAACGTTGAGTGTGACACGTGTGAGAAGGGCAGGGGCTTGGGCGTATGTAACAGGGGGACTTGGCCCAGCAGCAGTGTCAGAAAGAGGAAGGGATATGCTGGCTGAAGCCTAAAGCACAAGGAAGGCACAAGGTAGGAATGGAAATACAGCAGGTCTCCAGGGACTTGCGGTACAGCCAGGCTGGACCTCTCCCTGAGGCGTCACCTACCAGCAACTCTGGGGGGAAGATGGGCTCCTGGGTGGGATCCAGGGGCATGAATTCCTCTGGTTTGAACAAAGATGGCGAGAGACTGACCTGTGGGGAAAGAGAACAGGTAAGTGGTATGGTGTCTTCTCCTTCCGAATGCCCCATAGGACTGATGCAGCCCTTTCTCCAAGCGAGCTCAGTCCCGGCCCCCAGCAGGCTGGTGGAGGGGCAGGCAGCTCCCGGGGAGCAGGAACAGGAGGTCTTGCCAGAGAACCCAGGGCTGATATGCACCTTCACACCTCCATAGTCGGCCATCACCGACCCTCACCGTAGTTTCCTCTCTGGCCCCCACTGCTGGGGTGTGGAGAGAGTGCACTGACTCCTCTGAGAGTGGCCCCCCCAGGCTTCCAGGGGGAGAGGTACCCACTTACCACGTGGTCTTTCTTTGAGTTCATGCAGCAGTTTGGATTGTCCCCATCTCCTCTGCAGCATCCACCATCCTAGAGAGACGATGAACATTCACACAAGGATATTTGCAAAGAGTTTTCACAGAAGCTGAGGAACCTACATTATCAATATCTAGCAAACTCCAGCAATGCACAGGAGGAGCAGAGACCCTGCCCCATCCCACCTGCCTTATTGCGTGAGTTGAGGGCTCTGCTACGTTCTCCCTGGCTTGGCTCATGTAGATTAAACAACTCATGGATAAACAAACAGGAGGAACAGGGAAATTGAATTTTGGAAAACATCTCCATTAAAATTAGCTCCTACTTTATCAAAACCTATCCTTATGCCCATTTTCCTTCTTTAGCGCTGCTTCCTTAGGAAGCCCGGATGAGAGAAATTCCCATCGGTTCTCTCAGCATTCAAGAGGCTCTACTTCCAGGTCAGTCAGATTCTGTGGGGCTTGGCTGAGTGTCTCCCAGGCTGCGGGACCCTGCCAAGGATGTCCAAAACCAGCGCTGGGCCCAGCGATGTGTCCAGCCAGCGTGCCCAGTGCCCTCCCTGCTACTTAGTAGGCACTTGTTCCCAGAAAGCTATGCACTCTTCACTCACAGGGGGCCTGCTCCGGGGGAAGGGCACAGGTCAATCACCCATCGGCTCTGAGAAAGGACTTGCTCAAGACCTCTCAGGATACCAAGGGCAGAGCACAAGTAGAGCCCAGAATCGCTGCCTCCCGGAACGAGGCATTGCAGAGCAGGGCAGGGGTGTGTTCACCCAACTGATCTGCTCCAAGCAGTCAGGAGCTGTGGCTCAGGGCTCCAGGAGACACTCCAGAATTGTGGAGTTGTGCTGAGACAAAGTGGGGAAAGCTCATAGGCCCAGCACCAGGCACTTTTCTGGAGTAGCTGATTTCTGAAGGAGCAGGCTGCGAGCAGCCCTCCTGCACATGAGCCACGGGAGACACCCTGCCGTGCCGACATTTCCCAAAGGTGTGTCACAACCCACTGTCTTTCCCAAGAAAACATTCAGAGGGCCATGGAGACCGGAGGTGTGAGAAGTGGTGAGCACAGTCGGCCGATGGCCTAAGGAGAGAAAGACCTCCCTCGCCTCGACCCCCTGCACATCCACGGCTTGGCCACTGGACGCCAGACCTGCTTGGTCCACTCTGGCCCTCCCACTGCCACCTTGCCCTTCCCCTCTGTACTTAGACAGAAAGGGAGGAAGACAGGTTCCCTAGCGCCTCTTCTCACTTTCCTTCTTGGAGAAGGAGCAACACAGGGGAATTCCCGGGCCCCATGTGATGTGAGAGGGACCTGCTTCTTGCAAGGCATCCGCCTCACCCAGCCCTCCTGAGGAGGGACATGTTTCACAGAAGTACATTCCCCGGATGATTAAGGGGCCAGTGCATTACTACTCAGCTCTTTGTTCTTGATAATTCCTTGATGTGTTTATGACATAAATTATTGTGATGTACAATCATGCATCACTGCCCTCAAGGTCTCCCGAGGTTGGATAAGGCTGGATTTTCCCATCCCTGCCCTCCTGAGATTTCTGCTTCATTAAGTAAGTTTCTGGGCTTGTGCTTTTTTCTTTCAAATAAACTTTCTTCTTATTTTTAGAGCAGTTGTAGGTTCACAGCAAAACTGAGTGAGAGGTACAGAGAATGCCCAAATACCCTCTGTCCTCACACACGCACACCCTCCCTCACTGTCGACATCTATCCGCACCGGAGTGGCACGTTTGTTACAATTGGTAACACTGACCTGTCACTGTCCGTGACAGTCCGTAATTTACATTAGGGTTCACTCTTGGTGTTGTACATTCTATGGGTTTTGACAAATGAATGATGACACATATCCACTATTGTAGTATCTTGCAGAATAGTTACACTGCCCTAAAAATCCTCTGTGCTCTGCCTGTTCATCCCCTTTCCCCAATCCCTGGCAACCACTGATCTTATTACTGCCCCCATAGTTTTGTCTTCCCTAGAATGTCATATATTTGGTATCATACAATATGTAGCCTTTTCAGTTTGGCTTCTTTCACTTAGTAATATGCAATTAAGGTTTCTATGTGTCTTTTTGTAGCTTGATACTTTGTTTCTTTTTAGCACTAAATAATGTTCCATTGCCTGGATGTTCCATGGCTTATTTATCTGTTCACCGACTAAAGGACATCTTGAGCTCCCGTTGCTCCACATCCTCACCAGCATTCGGTGGTGTTAGTGTTTTGCATTTGGCTATTCGATAGGTAGGTAGTGATATTTCATTTTTGTTTTAATTCGCAATTCTCTAATGACATATGATGTTGAACTCTTCAGCTGCTTACTGGGCAACCGTATGTATTCTTTGGCAAAGTGGCTGTTCAGGTCTTTTACCCAGTTATTAATGGGGCTGTTCATTTTCTTATTGTTGAGTTTTAAGAGTTCTTTGTATATTTGGATAAGTCTTTTATCAGATGTATCTTTTGCAAATATTTATTCCCAATCTACAGTTTGTCTTCTCACTCTTTTTGCAGAGTGGAAGCTTTTAGTTTCAATAAAGTCTTGCTTATTATTATTTCTTTCATGGATCTTGCCTTTGGTGTTGTATCTAAAAAGTCGTCATACCCAAGGTCATCTAGGTTTTCTCCTATGTTATCTTCTAGGAATTTTATAGTTTTGTGTTTCATGTTTAAGTCTTTGATCCATTTTAAGTTATTTTTTTAGAAGAGTATAAGATCTGTGTCTAGATCCATTTTTTGCATGTGAATGTCCAGTGGTTCCAACACCATTTGTTAAAAAGATTATCTCTGCTCCCTTATATTATCTTTGTCAAAGATAAGCTGACTATATGTACCTAGGTCTATATCTGGGCTTTTTATTCTACTCTATTGATCTATTTATCTATTCTTTTATAAAAACCACACTGTCTTGATAAGTGTAGCTTTATAGTAAATTTTTAAATTGGGCAGTGTCAATCCTCTGACTTCAATATTGAGTTGGCTATTCTGGGTCTTTTCCCTCTCTGTATAAACTTTAGAATCAGTTTGTTGATATCCATAAAATAATTTGCTGGGATTTTGATTGTTATTGCATTGAGTCTATAGTTGGGACAAATTGACATCTTTATAATATTGTGTCTTCCTATCCATGAACAAGAAATATCTCACCATTTATTTAGTTTTTCTTTGATTTCATTCAACAGAGTTCTGTGGCTTTTCTCATATAAATCTTGTACATACTTTTTAGATTTATACCTAAGTATTTCATTTTGGGGGGGGATGCTAATGTAAATGGTAATATGTTTCTAATTTAAAATTCCACTTGTTCATTCCTGGTATATAGTAAAGCAACTGAATTTTATATTCCCTGTGATTATATCTTCTGGAAGAGATTGTAGAAAACTGGCCTAATTTCTTTCTTAAATATTTGGTAGAATTCACCAGTAAATCCATCTGTGCCTGGTGCTTTCTGTGTTGGAAGGTTATTAATTATTGATTCAATTTCTTTAATAGATATAGGCCTATTGACATTGTCTATTTCTTTTGGTGTGAGTTTTAGTAGATTATGTCTTTCAAGGAATTGGTTTATTAATATTTCATCTAGGCTATCAAGTTTGTGGGCATAGAGTTGTTCTTAATATTCATTTATTATCCATTTAATGTCCATGAGATCTGCAGTGATGTCCTCTCTTTCATTTTGATATTAATAATTTGTATCTTCTCTCTTTTGTTCTTAGCTGTCATGATCAGAGACATCAATTTTATTGATTATTTCAAAGAAATAGATTTGATTTTCTCTATTGATTTCCTGTGTTCAGGTTCATTGATTTCTGCTTTAAATTTTGTTTCTTTTCATCTGCTTACTTGGAATTTAATTTGTCCGTTTTTTTCTAGTTTCCTAAGGTGGGATCCTAAATTATTGATTTTATTTCATTTTATTTTAGGCCTGGGATGGGTTGGCTGAATAGATTATTGATTTTAAACATTTCTTCCTTTCTAATATATGCATTCAATACTATAAATTCCCCTCAAGTATTGTTTTCACTGCATCCTACAAATTTTGATAAGTTGTATTTTTAACTTTGTTTAGTTAAAAATATTTTAAAATTTTTTTTGAGATTTATTCTTTGATCCCTGTGTTATTTAGAAATGTGTTGTTTAGTCTCCAAGTATTTGGTGATTTTCCAGCTGTCTTCTTGTTATTAACTTCTAGTTTAATTTAATGTAGTTTGAGAGCAGATATTCCATGATTTTTATTCTTTTAAATTTGTTAAGGTGTGTTTTATAGCCGAGAATGTGGTCCATGTATATAAAAGTTCCACGTTAGCTTGAAAACAGTGCCTTTTCTGCTGTTGACTGAAGTAGTCTATAAATGTCGATTATGTCCAGTTCATTGATGGTACTATTGAGTTCAACTATGGCCTTACTGATTTTTGGCCTGCTGGATCTGTCCATTTCTGATAGAAGGATGTCTCCACCTGTTTATGTCTCCACCTGTAATAGTGGATTCATCTACTTACCCTTGCAATTCTATCAGTTTTTGCCTCACATATTTTGAAGCTCTGTTGTTAGGTGCATATACATCAAGGGTTGTTATGTCTTGTTGGAGTATTGATCCTTTTATCATTTTTAATGCCCTTCTTTTTCCCTGATAACTTTCCTTGGTCTGAAGTCTGCTTTCTCTGAAATTAATGTGGCTGTTCGCACTTTGTTTTAATTAATGTTAGCATGGTACATCTTTTTCCATATATTTACTTTTAATCTATACTTTATTTCTATTTAAAGGGAGTTTCTTGCAGACAGCATATATTAAAATAGTTGGGTCTTGGTTTTTGATCCACTATGACCATATCCGTCTTTTAATTGGTATATTTAGATTATTGACGTTTAAGGTAATCATTGATATAATTGGATTAGTATGTACTATATTTGTTACTATTTTCTATTTGTTGCTCTTTTTCTTCGTTCCTATTTTTGTCTTTCACGTTTTCTGACTTTTGTGGTTTTAATTGAGCATTGATATGCTTACATTTCCTCTCCTTTCTTATACTTCTCCTTTCTATTGTACTCCTTTTTTTAACCTTTTTTAGTAGTTGCCCTTGAGTTTGCAATATACATTTACAATTAATCCAAGTCCACTTTCAAATAACACTATACCACATCACAGTAGTACACATTCCTTATAATAACAAA